CACACCCTTCTCCACCACTACACCCACACCCTTCTCCACCACTACACCCAACCTTCTCCACCACCACACCTACACCCTCTCCACCACTACACCCACACCCTTCTCCACCACCACACCCACACCCTTCTCCACCACTACACCCACACCCTTCTCCACCACTCACACCCACACCTCTCTCCACCACTACACCTACACCCTTCTCCACCACTACACCCACACCCTTCTCCACCACCACACCCACACCCTTCTCCACCACTACACCCACACCCTTCTCTCCACCACCCACAACCCTCTCCACCACCACACCCACACCCTTCTCCACCACCACACCCACACCCCCTTCTCTCACCACTCACACCCACACCCTTCCACCACTCACACCCACACCCTCTCTCTCTCCACCACCACACCCACACCCCTCCACCACCCACACCCACACCCTTCTCCACCACCACACCCACACCCCTCTCTCCACTCACACCCACACCCCTTCTCCACCACCACACCCACACCCTTCTCCACCACTACACCTACACCCTTCTCCACCACACCCACACCCTTCTCCACCACTACACCCACACCCTCCACCACTACACCCACAACCCTTCTCCACCACTACACCCACACCCTTCTCCACCACCACACCCACACCCTCACCACCACACCCACACCTTCTCCACCACCACACCCACACCCCTCTCTCTCCACCACCACACCCAACCTCTCTCCACCACTCACACCACACCCTTCTCCACCACTACACCCACACCCTTCTCTCCACCACCACACCCACACCCTTCTCTCAACCACCACACCCACACCCTCCACCACTACACCCACACCCCTTCTCCACCACTCACACCCACACCCTTCTCCACCACCACACCCCACACCCTTCTCCACCACCACACCCACACCCTCTCCACCACCACACCCACACCCTTCTCCACCACTCACACCCACACCCCTTCTCCACCACTACACCCACACCTTCTCCACCACTACACCCCACACCCTTCTCCACACCACACCCACACCCTCTCCCACCACCAACCCACACCTCTTCTCCACCACCTCTCACCCACACCCCTTCTCCACCACACCCACACCCTTTCCACCACTACACCCACACCCTCCACCACCACACCCACACCCCCTCCACCACCACACCCACACCCCCTTCTCCACCACCACACCCACACCCTTCTCCACCACCACACACACCCACACCCTTCTCCACCACCACACCCACACCCTCCTACCACCACACACCTACACCCTTCTCTCCTCCACCACTCCACACCACCCTCCACCACTACACCCACACCCCTCTTTCTCCACCACCACACCTACACCTTCTCCACTCACACCCACACCCCTTCTCCACCACTACACCCACACCTTCTCCACCACTACACCAAACTTTCTCCACCACTACACCCACACCCTTCTCCACCACTACACCCACACCCTTCTCCACCACTACACCTACCATGGCTGGAGGACATAAGTGTCACACACCCGGTTTATATAATGCAGTTTTGTCCTTCAGTATAGAGACCCCCAACATTCCTTCCTTGTTCTTCTTTCAATTCTTTCTTCTTTCTTCCGTTCTTTCTTCTTTCTTTCTTTCTTTTTGCTATCACCTGTTTTGCTCTGTCTTCCGAGTCTGTAACATCTATTGGTGGGTAAATAATAAGTAATACCATCACAGGGAAAATATTTACGATGGATGAATTGTCTCAGATGAAAAATAACATTGTGATGATAGAACTGTGAGAGATGGGGTCTTGGTACACCTGTAAAAAAAACACATACCTGAATTTACACCTGTCGTTTTTTTTTGTTTTGTTCTGTGTAATAATAGTCCTATACCTGTTTGGAGGGAGAGGAGATGGAGGTGGGGGGGTGATAACAGCTGTTTAGGTGCTATAGAGATTAGGAAGAGGAGGTTGTACAGTTGCAGTCAGAAGTTCGTGATACACCCTTTCTGGACGGTGGGTCACTACACCTCCTCTCCCACCAACACATAGAGTGGAACAGATAATGGAACAGATTTACTCGAACGAAAACTCATCAAAAAAGAGATAGGAAGATTATTTATCATAGTATCACCCGACATTACTGGTGATGATGATGATGGTGATGATGATGGTGATGATGATGATGATGATGATGATGATGATGATGATGATGATGGTGATGATGATGATGATGATGATGATGATGATGATGGTGATGATGATGGTGATGATGATGATGATGATGATGATGATGATGATGATGATGATGATGATGATGATGTGGATGATGATGATGATGATGATGATGATGATGGTGATGATGATGGTGATGATGATGATGATGATGATGATGATGATGATGATGATGATGATGATGATGATGTGTTTATAGTGAAGGAGGACGTCTGACCCCATTTGACCCAGTTCGCGCATGACGTCACCGAGTAGAGTGACCGCTTACCGAGTGAACTGCAGCCATTACTATGAACACTGGTCATTTCTGTTGCTTAATACCCGTTAATAGTGTAGTGTGTGGGTGTCGTTGTTCACACGGGAGGGGAAAATACACTTCCATATATTTCCTAAAGATGATGAATAAATATATAAGTGAATTAGCCTCTACCAAAATCACAAGTAATATTCGTAGTTGTGTTGATTATGACTTATCATACATGAAGCTGTAGTGAACAATTTATATCAATGTTTTGTGTTTTGTCTCTACAGGTGTAATAAAACGTACACAGGTAGACACATTAATATCTGGTTCGGTTTTATTGACCTTATCTTAGAATGGATATGAATCATTGACTCGGTACTGAAATGAATAAATTAAATAATTCTGGGTCTTAGAATCTTCTATATAAATACTGTACAGACAAAAACATAAACTGAATTCCCCAGAAAAACGCGTACTGAGTGGGGAGACTTATCTGATAAATTAAATGATAAAGACATGTAGAAAGTATTGTACACTGATAGAGGTATAGTGACCTGCTTTGCATTATACAGTACAGTGCCTCATCTGTTTCCACATACTTATAGTGAACAGTGAACAGCGATACCAGAAACTAACACAATCTGACACAATCTTCTTACCCATTGTATAAATATTTTAACAACAAATAAATATCAATATATACATTCTCCATGCCCTTTACACTACATATTGCAGGTAACGATTCCGTAAATAATGTAACGAGGAAATAGATATCTGCGCCCTGGTAGTGTTGTATAATCAATTGGAAATTCAGTCAGCCTCTGGCAACGAGTTTTCAGGGCACTCCCCCACCCCTTTCCCTTCTCCCTTTCTCCTTTTCTCTTTCTTATTCCCCTCTACTTCTCCCCTCCTCTCTCTGTCTGCATCTATATATCCCTCCGTGTCCTCTCTGCCATAGGGAATATTACATGTGACAGACAGGAGAGGAAAGGAACTCCTATAGACAACTCTGCCTATAGCTATTATTAAACTAATTTTAGCTGAACTTATTGAAATGCGTAATGTAAAAGTGAAATACATTGTTTTTGTTTTTTTAACCTTTCCTTCTCTGATACCGGTTATAAATTTTGTATCAATCCATTGCTGTGTTTAGCCGAGGTTAAAGGCAATATTATTTACTATGTGGGGTACTGAGAGGTAGGGGTGAGAGGTAGGGGTGAGAGGTAGGGTAAGGGAGTGAAGAGTCCACAATGTGACGTCAGCGAACCTCCACCCACCTACTCGCGGGAAGACTTCTTATATAGACCTTAATACAACTAATAGACGTGAAGAGAACGACACTGAACCACATGTGTTTTGGTGAGTCAGGTTGTTACCCTTCGCTACCACACTTAGTTAAACTCAAACAAGATACATTTGTCTTTCCTATGTTATCTGAAAGAGCGGTCTTCACTTACCACCAATTATAGTTTGTGTGATCACTGTTATAACCAACACTAATACACCAAACGGATATTGAAAGTAGAATGGGACCAGGGATAAGATTACTGCTCGGGAAAATGTCCGTTTGTCAGGATTTTAGTGAACGATTTCAATAAAGACAGTTACTTTATAAATGAGTTTCAGAGGAATTCGTTCACGTGTTTCAGAGTGTCAGGTTACTCGTTGGCGATCGAGAGGGCGCTGGAACAGACCTATTGCCTAGGTATTTGTGTATCAAACGTCAAAATATGTTAACTGGGGTCATTACAGTGTAGTGTCTGTCTGTCTGTCTGTCTGTCTGGTCTGTTTGTTTCGTCTACGTGTGTGTCTGGAGAGGCCAAGGGGTAGTTGTCGTCCGCCTGATACTATTAATAATGGGGATACTATTTAATATATAAACCTTTTCAATATATTATATCAGGATCCTCATCACCCGTTAATTATTCCTTACAGCAACAAGGACATAAAGAAGGTTAGTTTGGGTCGGTGTCCTCCACGTAACTCACACTAGGCCCTGACTGATACTACCACCCAGCAGCCACCCACAACAGCCACCCACAACAGCCACCCACAACAGCCACCCACAACAGCCTGAACAGATTATAAACATTATTTTCTTCCTCTACATATTGTGGTTTTTTACATTGTAGTCTGCGAATTAATTGGTCACTTATGTTTATTTAACAATAATAAAACACTCACACTCTAGAAGGACAAATTTAGTCCATTATCCACATTATTATTTTATACCTCGTCCAGGCCCCCCCCCCCATCCTTCTCAATAGCTGCATGTAACCTGTCTGGTATAGAAGACAAACAGACACTAAAAGACTCTGGCCTACACAGTTCCCCTCTGGGCGTGGACATGGGTCAATTGATGGCTGATCCTCTCGTTCTCTGGCTCTCAGGTGTAGTGACCTCGGGGTGACAGACTCTGCCCCCTCCACCACCAGTGTATCACCAACTTCTGAACGGAACTGTACCTGATGGTGGTAGGATAGGGGAGGGGGGGGGAGGAGGGGAGGGTGGTGAGTATGGTCAAGGTGTGTTCGTCTTACCTGTGTGGAGGCAGTGGTCACACACACACATACACACACACCTCCCCCGCTGACTGTAGTCGTGATGCTCCACCCGCCACACTCCTTCACTTCTCTCTCTCTCTCTTTCTCTTTCTCTCTCTCTATCTCTCTCTCTTTCTTTTTTAAACAAATTATTGTACGGTCGAACACTTCAAAAACTGTTTCATTTAAGAGATTGAAGCACTAGTCGACGCTCCCAGGTGTAGAAATCCTTGTGTTACAGTTAATTATTGCGATATGTTCAGCGACGAGCGAACAAGGTGTGTTAGAGGAACAAAGTGGAGATGTCAAGCGCGGGTGACGGTCGCCCCTCACGGCTGCACGGAGGTGAGTGTGAGGCAGCAGGTGGCGGGGCGCGGGGTCTGGCGGCGGCGGCGGCGGCCAACCATCACCACGCGGCGGGGAGGAGGAGGAGGAGGGAGAGACGGAAGGGGAGAGAGGGAGGGAAGCAGTAGCACCCACTCCCTCCTCTCCCTTCCCTCCTCTCCTCTCCCTCCCTTCTATATAATTACAAACCCACACCACTATCTGCCCCATCATTAACCCACTCCATTACCCATTACTGACCTATACCACTTCCACACACCTGCAGTATTTAACGAACGCTAACGCACTCGATTAACTAAACCCCATCACTAAAACCCTCGACCCACTCATTAACCCATGATTTTCAACCCACAACCTACAACCCACAATCCACAACCTACAACCCACAACCCACGATCACTCACAGAATAATCCCAACACAGAGGGAACACACAGGTGGCGAGAGAGTTAGTTATCGCTGGAATAATCAGATCACAGCTCAGCCAACATTCATATTTTGTCGTACAGTCAGATGTGAATGTCGGTCCGATCTCTTAATACATCTGCTTTCCTGCTGCCTCTCCTGCTGCCTCTCCTGCTTTCTCTTGGTTTAATGTATCTGCTTAATTCTGCTGTTTGTTTCATCCTAGTAAGGTTTATCTGCTCGTTTCAGGAACATTTAACCAGTCTGCTTTATTCTGCTTTCATGATCTTATTCGTTTTGTCTGCTGTCGGTGTTATAAAAAAAAAGACAAAGAGATGAAAGTGATATTTTGGACTGGTAAATGGAATGGAAGGGAGGGAAGGAAGGAAGGAAGGAAGGAAGGAAGAGGAGGAATGATGGTCAAATGGTACAAAACTAGTGCCCCCATCCCCAGTAAGGTCGATTCCCCCCTCCCTCCCCTTTTTCCAACCCCCACCCACCTCCCCACCTTCCCCCCACCTCTCCCCACCCCCTCCCCCACCCTTCCCCCCACCCCCACCCTCCCCACCCTTCCCCCACCCCCCACTCCTCCCCACCCTTCCCCCACCCCCCTCTCCCCCACCCCCACTCTCCCCCACCATCCCCACCCCCCTCTCCCCCACCCTTCCCCCACCCCCCTCTCCCCCCACCTTCCCCCACCCCCCTCTCCCCCACCCTTCCCCCCCCACCCCCACTCTCCCCCACCCCTCTCCCCCACCCCCACTCTCCCCACCCCTCCCCCACCCCCTCTCCCCCCCACCTTCCCCACCCCCACTCGTACACATACATAGTAGATAGAATAGGAAGTGGCCTCAGACCTACTAAATCGATGCCTCCTCTGCGTTAAATGTCAGATTTAATAACCTTTTCCCCAGATTCCTGTGTGTGTGTGTGTGTGTGTGTGTGTGTGTGTGTGTGTGTGTGTGTGTGTGTGTGTGTGTGTGTGTGTTTGCATGCAGTACAAAGAGATGAATTATGTTGAATAGAATAACCTGAGTCTTCCAAGTGTGAGAGTGAGATAACAGGAAAGAAATTATGAAGTTGAGGCGTCTCTCTCTCTCTCTCTCTCTCTCTCTCTCTCTCTCTCTCTCTCTCTCTCTCTTCCCCCAAAACAAACACACAATCACACATGCAAAATAGGGACTCACACAACAAAAGATCAAATACATTTTTACTCTTACATGCAAGCAAACACTGACGCACGCACATAGTACAGCAAGCAAGCACAGCAGGTACAGCAGCACCATCAGTCAACATATTGGTGAAGCAATTTCCAATCCGGGTGTCAATATTTATAGTCAGAATGTTGGCCCACTATACCTCTAAACGGTGCCTCTCCCAGCCCACCTTTACGCTGCTACTCGTGACGTCATCATTACCTCAGCGATGACGTAAATTCGATGCTCATGACGTCACTTGGAGTTCCCGATTATTATTTTAGTTTTTATTTATTTGTTGATTATTTTTTTAGGGGGTTTAAAATTTGAAAATATTTGTTAATTGTTTTGGAATATTTTATTGATTGAATTGTAAACTTGATAGAATTAATATTTGTAAATTGATTTGTATTGATGCGGTGTGTGTGTGTGTGTGTGTGTGTGTGTGTGTGTGTGTGTGTGTGTGTGTGTGTGTGTGTGTATGTGTATGTTACCCCCCCCCTCCATCTCCATCATCACCACCACAACAACAACAAACACCAGGTATGAGGACAGGTAGTAAAGGGACAGGTAAGATCCATGTATGATGACCAAACACCTGAGACAAAACCGAGGGGCCCAAATATTTAGCAAACAGGTGTGTGTGTGTGTGGAAAGTGGCTGGAGTCGTGGATGCCTTCGATTTCTCTACCGGGTCAGTGAGAGGGGTGAGAACATCAGTCCTTCCCTTCCTTCTTCTTCCTTCTTCATTCTCTCTTCCTTTCCCCTTCTTCTTTCCTCTTTTCCCTGTCCAATATTCCTGCCTTCACCTCTTCTTCCACCTCCCTATTCATCCCTCTCTCTCCTTCCTTCCTTCCTCCTTTCTCCCTCTCTCTTCTTCCTTCCTTCCTCCTTTTCTCCCTCTCTCTTCTTCCTTCCTTCTTCCTTTTCTCCCTCTCTCTCCTTCCTTCTTTCCTCCCCTTTTCTCCCCTCTCTCTCCTTCCTTCCCTTCCTCCTTTTCTCCCCTCTCTCCTTCCTTCTAACTTCCTCCTTTTCTCCCTCTCTCTCCTTCCTTCCTTCCTCCTTTTCTTCCTCTCTCTCTCCTTCCTTCCTTCCTCCTTTTCTCCCTCTCTCTCCTTCCTTCCTTCCTCCTTTTCTCCCTCTCTCTCCTTCCTTCCTTCCTCCTCGGCGCCTCAGAGTGTACGTCGCAGTGGCTGAAGGAATAATTAATCAACCCACCAGGTAGACAGGAGGACCCACCAGGTAGACAGGAGGACCTCACAACTGACGGAAAGGACGACGTATTGACGGGTGTCGCCACTGATAGAAACACGACAATAACAGACAGATGAAGCAATGTTTATTTTCTACCAACAGTCAAAGATTCGTTCCTAGAGACTCCTTTTCATAGCCTCCTGTGACCTTTAGCCGTACAGTAAAGACAATTCTACAGTGATCTTTATATAGTTTAGAGTTTTGTAGTTGTTTGAGATAATAGATGATATTTTGTAGTTGTTGTTTTTGTTTTTTATTGTATGGTTTTTTTTTTTGGTGTTATTGGCATTAGTTGTTCATAAGGTATTAATTTGTTTTATCCCTTAGTTCAATAACATATTTTTTTGGTCAGGTATATACGACATTTTACTATTCATATTATTACTACTACTACTACAACTATAACTACTACTACTACTACTACTACTACTACTACTACCCTTGTCAGTCCTTCCTCGTCAGCCCTTCCTCGTCAGCCCTTCCTTGTTAGCCCCACCTTCAGTTATTCTCACCGGGTCGACAAATACGTCTTTCCTTATTCATGGTGCAATTTATCCTCACCAACACTGAGTTATGATGAGCATCAATTGACGTCACGGTGGTGTATCAATCAGATTATGACGTCACGGTGGTGTATCAATCAGATTATGACGTCACGGTGGTGTATCAATCAGGTTATGACGTCACGGTGGTGTATCAATCAGGTTATGACGTCACGGTGGTGTATCAATCAGGTTATGACGTCACGGTGGTGTATCAATCAGGTTATGACGTCACGGTGGTGTATCAATCAGAGAGTTGATTGGGTGACGCAGTCGAAGGTTAGGTTAGGTTATTTAAGGTTAGGTTAGGTTATTTAAGGTTAGGTTAGGTTAGGTTAGGTTATTTAAGGTTAGGTTAGGTTATTTAGGTTAGGTTAGGTTAGGTTAGGTTAAGGTTATTGGGTTAGGTTGGGTTGGGTTGGAGTTAGGGGTTAGGTTAGGTTGGGTTAGGTTAGGGTTAGGTTAGGTTCCCAGAGTATATATCGCTATTGTCTGTGTTTATCTGTTTATCAATAGTTCAATAATTTTACCACAGCGGCCGAGTTAGGTAGACATATTGCAGTCTCCACCATGTGTGTCTGAGTGAGTGTTGGGTCCAAATTAAATTAAAAGTGTGTGTGTGTGTGTGTGTGTGTGTGTGTGTGTGTGTGTGTGTGTGTGTGTGTGCCACCGTATACCTGCATCAAGACTACACATCTGCATCACCTCAACACACACCTGCACTATCTGGGGGTTCATCCTTCCCCCACCCACCCCTCTTCCCCCTGCCCACCGCCCACCACCACGCCCACCACCATCCACGCCCACCATCCACGCCCACCCACTGCCCACCCTTACCTATCACAGACAACAATCAATGTTTACCTTACCTGGCTGACTGAACCTCCACCCACTCCCTCCACCCACTCCGCCCACTCCCTCCACCCACTCCCTCCAACCACTCCGCCCACTCCCTTCCTCCATTCACTCACTAAATCACTCCGCTTAATCCCTCCACCCACTTCACTCCACCAACTTACTCCACCCGATCCCTCCACACATCCATTCCAACCACCCACTCCCTCCTCTCCGCTCACTCCACCTAATCCCTCCACCCACATCACTCCACTTACTCCTCCCTCTCCACTCCACTTATTCCCTCCGCTAACTAAAGAATAATAATTTAATACAAGTTACTAACTCCTTCAAGACTTGTTATATCACCTTTGTACACCTCTATCATATCGCCCCTCACTCTACGTCTCCCGAGTGAGTGCAAATTAAGATGCTTTAACCTGTCTCTGTACTCAAGGTTCCTAATGCCCGGGATTAGTCTTGTCATTCTCCTCTGAATTCCTTCTAGTGATTCTATATCCATTCTGTAGTACGGTGACCAGAACTGAACTGCGTAATCCAAGTGAGATCACAAGCGCAATATCACACGCACTTAAACACTTATACTAGTTCCAAAACACTTAAACACTTAGACCAAACACAGTTAAACACTTACTCGCAGAGACCACTTATAAACCTGTTGTTAGGCATTGAGAGCCAAAAAGGCATTACCAACACCAGCTATACAAAAGAACGGACACATCAACCCCCTCTCTCTCCCCCCTCTCCGCCTCCCTCTCCCCTCCATCTTCCCCTC